TTTCATATTTACCCAATGCCAATTGATTCTTTTCCAGCATGAGTAATTTCAAACTAGCTTGAGAGAAATCATGAGTCGTGTTTGTCATCACCAGTATATATTATATTTCTTTCTTCTTATAACTTTTAAGCTTCGTTCGTATCTTTCGATGTTAAAAAAAAAAAAAAAAAAAAAAGAAAAAGAAAAGAACGAAATAAAATATTTTCTCTTTCCCTTTGTGTTGAAATATTTATATTATACTAAAAAAAGAAAAAAAAAACCCTCTTACCTCGGATACAAGCCTGAAAAATCTCTGACAAGTAATTAAAACGTTTCTACGTCTTTCCAATCTAGATGCAAAACTTCGACAAACGAAATCCATGAAATCCTTTTGAGATTTCAAATCTTCCGGTAAATGACCTGTCGGTAAACGATCAATTTTATGAAGCAACTCGGCGTAACGACCATAAGTTTCCTATAAGAAAGAAAAAAAAAAAAAAAAAAACAAGAACAAGTATCGAATTAAAATAATTATTCGAAATATTTCTATTCGCAAATAAAAAGAGATGATTTTTTATTTTCTTTTCTCTCTCTCTCTCTCTCTCTCTAAATTGTATCTTTTACCCTGCATTTTAATTCCAATTGTTCGTGTTGTCTTCTAAGATCATCCGAAGATACAACATCAAAACCAACTTGATAAGAAGAATTCAACATGGCGTCGGCTGGTCCCAAAATCCATTCCGTTACTTGTGAAACACCTTTTTCAAGGTCGTCTATTACTTTCACAGTATCCAAACTTCTTTCCATTTGAGTCCAACAATTTTCAATGTCCACCTTATTACACACAACACACACACAAACAACGAATATAATAATTTAATTGTGTGTATTAATGTCTACGCATAATACAAACTTATACGATAGATTATATAGTTACCTGTTTTAATTCAATAGAATCGAGAAGTCCATGTATTCGTTTAACAGTGTCCAAAGAATCTCTAGATGAATCCCTGCTCATGGTGTTCACCAAACTCCTACCTGTGTATAATCATTTTTTCTCACATTTTGTTTGTTTTTTTTCTTTTCTTTTTGTATAATTTGTGTAAACATACGTTTTATTAAAAAAAAAAAAAAAGAAATATATAGAAATTAACCTGAATTAAGAATACAAGAAGCAACAGACGTAAGTTCCATTCCTATTTCCCAATAAGATTCTAAATCATCGTCCGATTGCCTCATGCGAATCCCATCAAGGTTACTCAATCGTTCATGTAAATTCGACATTTTTGATAATAACTCTAAACCATCTTTCATGCATTCTTCAACTTTCTATAAAGTAATCGATAAATGAATGAAGTAATCCATTTTTTTTTAAAAAAAAGGAAGTATAATTATAGTTGATCATCGTACCAAACGTTTTTGAATCCATTCCGTGTGATCGTAAAATTTATTACCGCACAAGTCATACGGTAATTGTGAAAATTCAATAAACGCGTGAAGTCTCTCAACGGTTACATACATCGGCTAAAATAAAAGTAATTTACAAAATAAAATTAATCTCGAAACAACCCTTTTGAAAACGAACGTGAAACATCAGTGTAACCGATTACGTTCGATCTATGAATTTATTTAAAAGTTGAATCAATGATTGATAAATAATAATAATAATAATAATTAATAAATAATTATTCTATTATAAATAAATATCAATTGAATTATTAATTAATATAAAATATCCTATTATTATTTATTATTATTATTACTGTTTAAAAATCACGTACCACCTAATACCTTTTTTTTGTTTGAAATTCAATTCATATTATAAATCATTGATGATCCAACGTTCTAATTAAAATAAACTATCGCGAAACAAGGAAATAAATACTTGTATAAATTTATAGGGATTCAACTTTTTTCTAGTAAGAGTTGATTAAAGAAAAAGTTCTTGTTCATTCATAGAAAATACTAACCTCGCTGTCCTTATAAGACTTAGTACAACTATCAACACGCTTGTCCCAGAAGCCATCTGGACGTATAACGAACACGGAAGTTGCACGACTTCCTAGAAGCATCACCGATAACCTGATACAAGATCTTGCAACTCGCCATGCTCGATAACGTGCATCTATGATCAATACTAGACCACCTTTCTTTGTCCCTTCGCTATAAATGATTTCAAAAAAATAAAGTATTTTATTTATTAAATGTGTGTACTAAAAGATATAATCAAATTCATTCCTCTTGCAAAAGTTTCTGATCGTAAATATAAAATAACAATTTTCCAATACAAAATTCTCTAATTCAAATTTGCACCAAATCAAGAAAACTGAATAATTTTTCGACGGATCATTAAAAGCTGTGATAAGAAGAAAACCATCAATTTTTTACATGGTTTGATAATACAATCAATCCCAAAGAAAATTACTATATTACATTCGGAATAATAATTGAATCTCATTTAAAATTATACCTTAAAAGACTTCTCTCTTCATTTTATTGAAAACAAATTCTTTCGAAATTTGATAAAACGTGTCAGAGATCTTTTATGCTTGTATACAAAATATTTGTTATTAATTTAAACATTGTACGAAATAAAATGACCCCATACTATCTATACCTATCCTCCCCCCCTCCGACCCTTCTCCCAACGGGGAATAATTTTATAACGAGATCCAATTGTATTTCCCGTTATGTTTTGGTCAAACAAATAATCGATATTATCAATCGATTACCTGAATATCGACAAGAAGTATAAGATGACCGATTCCAAGCGTGGTTTCGTTGTCGGTTGAAGTTCAGTTGGGACGTTAATTATTATCAAAGGGCGTCCCTCACGATCACGTCCACCGGGAAGATAAGCGAGCTTTGACTCAAGGGCACCAAGGACATCTGTTTCCAGACCCTTCGTTGGCATTTCTTTTAACGTTAAAAAACAAAATTGTCGATTAAAAAAGAAAATGAAGAAATGTCTTTTCTTACTATAATCATTTCAACGCGTTTGTTCATTCGAGCAATAAGGTAAAAATAAAAATGTTATTTTCCAAAAAAAAAATGAATCTATTTCGTATATGGTAAAAGATGATATCCACTGTTACGGCAGTGATAGTTTCTCTTTGTACACCAGCACGGTGACATACTTCAAATACGCTCACTCGCGACCAACAAGAAGAAAGTATCGAAAAGTATGTTAGGAGGTATGATATAGCTATCATCGGTGAACCGTTTGCAAATTGATCGTCTTGAAAACTTGTTATAGAAAACTTGTAACGCTAATAACGATCTGTGTAAACGATAATACCATGTCATGCTCGATAAACTTGATATTAAATCAATTAACGAGTTCAACGAAATCGAAATCACACAGTAAATAGATAACTATCATAATAATGAAATCTTCAAAATTATGATGTATTTTTGTTGTTGTTTAAATGAAGTTCGAAAATAAAATCAATACACGTTTTCATTGAAAATACGAAAAAAAGAAAAAGGAAGAATATAAAATTGAATATACCTGATAATCACTCGTCGACGTGTAAATAACGTTCGATCCGAAGTAACAACACCAGAATGACACATTTCACTATTCCTTAACAGATATTATAATGAAAATTCGTTGGTTAAAAAATGATTTGCGTACGGATAAAACCGGCAGCTGTTAACGCCTACATATGTAAGTGCACCTGCGGATGCACGTGGTTCTTGAATGACTCGAATGCTCCCGCGCTGAAAACACACACGCGAACACACACGCATACAACTTTTAAACACTCTTCATTACAGATACACTTTTGAAATAGGGTAACGAAGTTAGTTACACGGTAAGAAAGGGAGAAAAAGAAAAAAAAGATTCGAAAGAAGAGGTGTGTTCGAGGAAACAATTTTTCCTTTCTTCGAGGAAAGAAAAAGAAATTTTAGTTGTCGGGGAATTGTGTTTAGCAGCAGCAGTAGTAATAGTAATAGTAGTTATGCTAGTGGCGAGTCACGAGCGTTAAATAAAACGTTGCATGAGATGATGATAACAGAAAAAAATCGAAAGAAGGGGACTAAAGGAAAGCCGCAGCTGGGAACACACAAGTTTAAAGAAGGTTGTTGCAGCAACAACCGAGAACGACGACGACGGATGCTGTGCTAAGGAAACCAAAAGCTATCTCTCTCTCTTTCAAGTTCCATTCAGATCCAACGGTACTCTGGCACCGATTGACCGTCTCTACACCTTCCCCACCTTCTTTTCCTTGTTCTCCACCTCTTCCTCCTCCTCCTCCTCCTTCTTCTTTTTCTCCACCTCTTTTTCCTTCTTTTAAACGGGGTGCGCTGAAATTGTATGCAAATATATATATATAAAAGGAGGATGGTACACAACGGTATACCAATACTCTCAAATATAATACAAGATTTTAAACCATGTTCTTTTCGCTTATTTCCACATTCTTTCGTACAAATAAATTCATTTAGAATTCTATCTCATAATTATAACCGTGCAGGTAATTATAACTGTGTTCGGTGGTGGATTCAAATAATGAAGACAAAACAAGATTTTATATAATCATTTATTTTTACATTTACGATTTTGTGATCATAACGTAAAATAATATTCGTAAAGTTCAAATGTTTTATTTAACACGACTAGTTATCATTATTACCGGCACAGTTATCTATTTTTTTTTCTTTTTGTATGACGTGTCGAATACTCGATCATCGTTTTTATATACAAAGTTCTTTTTTTCTTTCTTCTGTTCATTTTCTTTTACTTTTTATTTCTTTTCATATGTGCAAAATAATATATTCATGGGATTGAATTATTAGATTTATTTTAAGTAAATATAAAAGATAGAATTTTACGCAATTGAGCAAGACTTTTTCTTTTTTTTTTTTTTTCTTAATGCGTTCAGTACTTTTTAGTACTTTTTATTATATCCGTTTAATTTGTTTTTTTTCGTTTAAATAATTATAAAAATAAGAAGCAAAATTTGAATTTTTCGAGGACCACCGTCTGAAAGAATATGTTATAACTATTACGAATGACCTTTCATTCAGAAATAACTCTGGAGAGTTACAATGAACTTTGATGCCGGATAGCGATTTGTACGTGAAAGTTTCTCCGAGCATAATATGTCCTCTTGGATCAGATCAACGTGATATCAATAACGGAGAACGCGCTATTACACCGTTAACATTTTGCGTATTCTATTCAATCCGTGGATTCTTTTTTTTTATTTCTTATTTTGCATAAATGTTGACCAGCTAATTATATTTGCCGATTTTTATGACAGTGGACTAATTATTAGTAAAAAAAATTATTTTTTTGTTAATCGATATGATTTATTTTATAATATAAATAATTTTTATATGAATTAAATCTTAAATTTAATTTTTGTAATTACTTGATTCATAATTAGTGCATTGTCATAATTACCCGCACATATGCGAAAACTTAATGTATTTCATAATGGAAATATTAATAACTCATCTAAGAATTTTCCAAAATTCTGTAAACCAAATTTTGTGTATTCTGTGTATTCTGTAATAATGTAAATTTTATATTTTTAATTGTATCGAATTTATATTTATATATTATAATGTGAATGTCGGGATATGTTTTTGTAAAATTATTCTATATATCAAATAATGACATTTTATTGTAACTTGTGATAATTAATAATTTTGTTATTTCCTATAATTTTTTTATGTAATTAATTTAAAGCTCTTGTAAAAAGTTTGGAGACTGTACACAATGAAATATAAATAATGTCTTGTGGATATATACACATTTTAAATAGAAAACGCTTCATATCTAATTACATATTTAAATTCATTTCATACATTCGTTTTCTTCCTATTTAACGTTATCGCAATATACAAAATTATATCTTTAACTTGTTCAAAGTGTTTAACTAAAACTACTAGTTATAACAAAGGTTTAAAAACATCATGAATCTAAAAAGTTATCTATTGTTTTATTATAGATATTCTTAATGAAATAATCGCATATATACAGAGACTATAAAACTAAAATTTTTAAGATATGTATACAAAAATTATATTACATAAATGTATACACATTTGAACCATGTTAAATGGCACTTCTCATTTTTACCGTTCACGACATTAGGAATATATATATACATATATAAATATAAGATCCAAATATATACTTATATTATTTTATAAAGATATATGTATATGTATATATATATATATTCCTATTTGTTAATTCTCTCGTCGATTATTTCGACGAAATATTCTTCGTTTAAAACTTGTACATACTGTGCAATTTTTAATACATCATGTGTACAGATACTATTCAATTGATTTTCTTTCTTTTTCTTTACTTTTTTAAAAAGTAAAAGAAGCATTTTTGTTTTAAATAATATCACTCAATACTATGGTACTCATTTAATACGACATTGTACGAGAAACTATTTCATAATAATCAACTTTTATAGGAGAAAATCATTTAACCATTGTGTGCTGTTCCATTGTATAAAAAAAAAAAAAAGAGACATTCAGGACAACTAAATCGCATTTAACATCAATTTTTCCATAAATAAAATATTAATTTTATCTAGAATCAGTGGACTATACAAATTGATTGGAGCTTGAAATACTAATGTCAAGTAAACGCCAAGCAGCTTTCGGATTGAGTTCCATTGGATCACGACATAATACCCATACATAATCAAAACGCATCACTCTTTCAGGGTCTCCTTCCACCACATTATTTTCTTTATCTCTAATACAGAAAATCTGCTGACTTTGAAACGTTATCAATAAAACTGGACCTTGTTCCATCATTTTACCCATTCGTAAATCTACGTTTTCAATGTCTGGAAATAGTTAATATTTTTATTGTAAACTATTCACAAATTGTATATATTGAAAATATATTTAATTAAAAGTTTATAATCGTACCTAAAATTTTATTATCAAAATAATATCCCAATTTTTGTACTTGTACAACAGGTTGTGATAATAAATTATATGGTGCCTGATGACACCAATCCTTTAAAATTTCTAGATCCCCTCTAACCATCGCCTCAAGTACATTTGGTATAATATCTACCTCGCAATCTTTTAGAAATTGATTTTTGTCAAAACTTGGATCTAGCTTACAAATTTCTGTTAATGTTTCAGACAAATCTGTGTTTCGGAACATACCACCAACCATGTCACTAACTTTCTCTGTAAAAAATCTAGAAGCTCGAATTACAGGATTTTCTGATTCATCATACTTGATTTTCCAATCCAATACTTTATTCATATATGGATTGTTATCCTAGTAAAAAGAAGTTATAATTAAACGTAGTTAATATAATTAATTAAAATACATAAATACAAAATTATTAAACAAGATATATACCTTAAACTTTTGCCAAGATTGAAAAAATTTAGAATCTTTATGTAATTCAACTCCTAGTGCCTCCATATTAGGTTTAACCTGCTTTTCATCTAAAGATATTTCTGCTACTTCTTTTCTTTTTCTTAATTTAGTAAGTGGTACGTAAACTCTCCCTGCATTGAATAATAGAATGATAAAGAAATATGGTCTTTACTAAACATATGCGTTAATATATAATCAATTTAAAACCTTGCATTCCATGGTGATCTAACTCATTGCGTACAACTTCTGCTGTTTGCGAGATTGTTTGAAAAGCTCCTGTTTTCCCAAGTGCTTGACTTTTTTCAGAAATCGTTTCCGCTGCTTCTTTCGCCGATTTACTTATTTCCTCACCTATTTGTCCTGCCTTTTTACCTAATTCAGATTTACTTGCTTCCTCAATAACTTCTTGTACCTATCGAAAGAAAATATCAAAATTGATAGAATAAAATTAGAAAGTAATTAACATATATAGATACTACAATTAGATAATCATTAATTAAATGTAAATATACTTTTTCTTTTAAAGTGTCTAATTTTTCTTTTATAACTTCGGAACTTTTGGAGGCTTCAGATTCCACCGCTTGAAACTTCTGTCTCGCTGAGCGCAATGCTTCAGACTGTTCTAATTTCTCAGCCTCTTCACGAAACTTCTTTAATGACTCTTTCATTTCTTTATTTTTCTGCATTTCTTGTTTAATATTTTCAACAAATTGTGTAAAGAAACTTGGTCTTCGTGCAGGATTTGAATACCAACGAATCTAAATAAATATATAATATTATTACTTATATATGTACAATCCAACAACTTTGTTCATCAAGAAGAAATAAACTCACCGATGAACTTTGTATATCTGGTAAATGAAAACAGGTTGTATGTAGCAATGGATTACATGATAAAGAATTTTCTCTTGAACCATTTCTAAATCTTCTTTGCGACTGTGTGGAGCGAGCAATACCCACTAAACTAATCCTATATGTCACGAAATTCTGAAACTATTAGTAATAGAAAATTTATATATTAAAAATGTTCATATTATATATAATTATTAGTAGATAATTCATCTGTGCAACATCATATACACGTGTGTATATATATATGTATTTTTTAATTTTGACTAAAAAGCATAACATAAGGATACATACATACGCAAGTAGTTTCACAAATAATTAATAACATTTAAAAGTTATAAAAAATTATATTTTCTTCTCTTTTTTTAACGAAACATAAAATGACGCAATAAAATAAGTGAGTGCCACAAAAGGCATTCCGACAAATTTAACCTCACTTGCATTATAAAAAGCCGATCTTTTTCTTCTATAAACACATGAATATAATTGATTCGTTGAAAAATACATTAAACACACAAGTATAATCATGCTCTTATATTATGAAGTTAACGTTTAGTTAGAAATTAGAATTATTTACCATTTTACAAACGATTTAATTATTACAGCCTAAGCGAAAGTCTTAATCATAACCACGAAGTGAGACTGCAACAAGTTTCATTAATCTGTCGCTAGATGTAGCAGTGCAACATTAAAATCATGTCTCCTTCTTGGATAATTTAGGTTATATACTTTGATTCTTTTAAAGTTTACGAAAAAGTAAATATATTGTGATTGACAATTAATGGACGTGTTTTGTTAAAAATAATAATATCTATTTAAATGTTAACTACGTATATAAAATTTAGTATATAAATATAAATAATTTGATTATGGTATTAAAAGTATTATACACTATATTTCTCTATCAATAAACAACCAATATAAATATAACTTTTTAATTTCGTAATAAATGCTAGTTAATAGTGTTTATTTCTTGTTAAAATAAAATTTTATTATAAATTTTAACATAATGAATGCAGTTGCACCCATTAAACCTCCCCGTGGAATTAAACCCACCAAAGAAACGGTAAATGAGATAATTATGGCAAAATAATAATATGAAGAATAATCTTGAATTGTATATATATATGTATTATATATTTTATAGAGCGGTTTATTAATCTCAGTAATTCGAGCACTATCTGCTTCTGAAACTAATGAACAAAGAGAAATTGAGAAAGCTAAATTAGAAAAAGAATATAAGCGAAGTGATCAGAGATTAGATGAATTAGTTTCATTGCACGAGCAAGATCTCACAGAAGTTATGCAAGTAAGTTTATCAAAAATATACAATAACAATTTTTCATTTAAGGTTTTGCATGTACTTGCTATATATATATCAAGATCTATATATTGGTCTGCTTGTACCGCCAGTTACAGAATATTTAAAGATTATTTTTCACTTATTTATTTATAGATATTTAGTACTCTATCCGAAAGAGTTACTGCTGCAAGAGAAAAGATTCATGCCGTAAAAGAAAATTTACATGCTTGTAAACAGTTATTAAATTGTAAGCAAGAAGAATTACTTAATCTATGGTTAGAAGGTATAGAACATAAACATGTATTACAACTTTTAGAAGAAGCGTAAGTAACCAAATAGTAATACTTTCATTTACAAGCAACATATACAACAATGTTTTTTGAGAATATTCTAATTCTAGTTAATGTACAGTTAATAATTTGTTAATAGGTCTACTTCGCCAGAGAAATATAATTTAGAGTAGAAAGCGGTTCAAAAAATACTATTTTTAAATATCAAAAAATAGAATAAGGTAACTAATTTGTATAATTATAGTTATATTAATGGTGACAATTATATATTATCAATATATAGATTATGGACGTATAAAACATTATTGCAAAAAGTAGTGCTTTTTAACTGTGTTTTATACCATGTTTTATATCGAAAACTATATGATGTATAAAGGGTCTTATACTTACTCAATATTTTGTTACAACATTGTATATTTTATTTATATCTATCTTTTTTCTTTTTTTCATTTACCTATATTAACATATCCTTATATATATTATTAAATTTCAAAAATTAACAAGCAGTACAAATTTTCAAATAGATTTAGAAAAGGAAACTTGTCAAAAAATTTATTTGTTTTATTTATTTTTATTGTAACTTTATATAAAACATTTTCAAACTTTAACTCAAAATTTTAATTACAAAAATAGAAAAGAAAATATAATTTAATTTTGTTTCTTTGGACCACCTATAGAATATAATTTTTTAAATCTTATTAAATAAAATGTGTTTTCTTAAAAATAATATTAGAAATAAGTGTCTTGTATCTAATAGGTTGATATAAAGTATATAATAGTATGTGAAGAAGCGTGTAAATAGCATGAGTATGAGAATGTATAAGTATATGAGTCAGAATAAAGGGAATATCAAAAAATGGAGATAGATAGATGGAAAACTCCCAATAAAAAGAATTAAACATTTCATACAAAGTCTTAGTCTTTCCGTATTCGTGATACCAGACATAATACTAAACCTAATCCAACAAACAACGTAGATAAAGAAATGTAACGTTTTTTCACTTTCTTAGCAGTATTCTACAATAAACAATAATTTACTATTATTATTATCATATCTATATATCATTATAGCAAAAATATATACGTGAATGAGTTGCACAGTTTTGAGCCTAAGACCAAAATTTCTTTTTTGTCAAATTCATTTATATTTTCCAAAAAAATAAAAACTTTTTGTCAAAACTCAAAACTTTTCAACCCATTCTTGCATACACAAGATGTCCCAGAGTTTTTTTTTTTGCACAATTTTACAATCTATTCTTACCTGGGATTGAACAAGAAAGCAGACCGTTGTCATTTTATATATTTGTGTTAGAAATATTTAAAAAAGCTTTTAAAAACCAATGATAGTCAAAAAAAAACTAGGACACCCTATCTTTTACTTCAATATATATACCTTTGAAACTAAAGCGTACGATTCTTCTATAGCTTTCTCTATATCGTTAACTGCATTAAGATTCTCCATTATGCTTATGCATAAAATTGAATTAATACTTACTAAATCACGTGAGTTTATAAAAGTATTATTTATTCCTTTTTCTTGAAGATTTAATCGGGCATAAGCAACACATACAGATATTAAATTCAATTGTTTCTTACTATTATTAAGCGTTTCAATAATATTTGGAAATCTGTAAAATATCATTAATATTGTGTATTAAAAAAAAAATCACTTAAAAAAGATGCTATTATCTATAAAAAGAAAAAAAAAATAAATAAATAAATAAACATAAAATACTTTTGCATCATAGGCCATTCTTTGGTAAAATTTCTTTTCCTAATTGTAAGATCATGAAACAATTTTTTTGCCAGATTTTCATTAGCACCTATAATTTAAACATACAAATGTTTACACTTTCATATATTTATCTACATATACATATATGGGTGGAAAAGTTTAAAACCAAACATAGAAATAATTTGTTTTCTGTAAAACTAACTTTTATATTTCAAACAAATAAAAGTTTTTTTTTTATTGAATTTCAAAACCGTTTAATCTACCCTCATTAATATAGATATATATGTATTTGATATTAATGTAAAAAATAAACATGTATAAAATATACCTAATTGTATAAAGTCGTCGACAGTTAGATTATGCAGTTCTTTAGTTGATATGTTTCTTTCTTTACAAGGCTTTATTAAATGATCAGCATCTAAACTATGTAAAATTAATGCTGCCTGTTGATTAAATTTGGAATTAACACTATATTTTTCAACGCTAAATTCTTTACACATTTTCGTAAGATATTTTAATTGTTTACTTAATGTTTTGTGTTTGCTTTTTTTTTTTATTATAACTTTTGATTACTTATATATATTGCTTATTGTATTGCTGACACACAATGATTCTGTCACTGAAAATGAAAGCGAAAACTAAAAATCTTGCAATATCAATTTGTAGAAACTCATATGTCCCATTTTTTATCTACCCAGTTTCATTTTTGTTACTACCGGGACCACCAGGAGGCGATAGTAGGTACTAAACGAGATGACGGTACAATCCTATCAAAGAATAAACAACATCGTCATGTTTAGTATCTACTAAACAACAATCATCTCGTTTAGTACCTACTATCGTCTACTGGTGGTCCCGGTAGTAACAAAAATGAAACTGGGTAGATAAAAAAGGGGACCATATGAGCTTCTATGTAGTTCTGTATTTTTTAGTATTTTCAAAAGTGCAAATGCTGCTTTGAACGCTTTTACCTAGGAATAGAGTACAACTTTTAATGATAACATCAATTATTTATAAACAAATTATAGATTGGAGTAAATGTTGTGAAAATATAACATGTATTTACTAGTATCTATATTACATTATGTATAAATAACTTATTAATATTTTACATTATTTTGTTTATATTCTCATTGATATTATTGCAATATTAGCTTATGTAAAATGCTGATAAAAATTCCATTTATATTTAGTTATAATATAATAATAATAATTAAATGAGTGTTTAACACTTTATCTTATTTCTCATTTGCCATACAACACACATACCAATTTTAATAGTCTTTTGTTTTTTTTTGTGTCATAAAAAAAATTAATATCACATTTTACAGCATATTACAAAATAATGATCATTGTGATACAGTTCTGATATATCTTCTCCTGTAATTAATAATATTATTAAACGAAAATTATTCTCATTAATATTATTTCCAATAATGCTAATTCTTGTTTATAGAGTAGTTATTGTAGCAATAATCCATATAAACTACACACACTACAATTCCTTTAAATGAATACATCAACTCATCTGAAAAATTATAAGTAGAGTACATATTCGTTAAACAAATCGTTTTCTATACATATATGTTATGTGTATCCTTTTGTTAAATTAAAAAATTTTAATAATGTAATTATTTTTCCCATATAAAGATATACATATTAATGAGGTACTTTTGTTATTATATACTCTCTGAATATCAATGGTAAATTTTTATATTTAATAGTTGTCATTTAATAGTTAAATTCATAAAAAAAAGATGAATTTAAAAATATTGTATATAAGAAATATTTGAAAGAAAAAAATTTGTATATAATACAGGTACGATGTGACAAATCTATAGAGACTATCATATGTATCTTTTGCTTTAATAATTAAATCAAGATCAACGTATTCTTAAATAAATGTATGCAAGAAAAAATCTCTAATCGAATTCTTTTTTAAATATTCAGTTTTTCAATCTATAGATGATTATATGATCGTTATACTTAAATATGTTTACGCATCTATTTCCCAGTCTTTATTATGATAATATTTAATATACCAATTCTGAGAAATAAAATTGCTTTCTTATATTAAATACTGAATGAAAGCTACAATATCTAAATTTCCTTCTATAAAATGAACGTACAACTCATTATTGTATTCGGCTATGTGTTCTATGATAAATTTACGATTTCTTACAATGAAAATATGTATTGCAAAATTGATTATTTTTGAGGTATTTAAAATTTATCTTCATTTCTATTAAAATCCATTTAAAATAAGAATTGTACATTTTTTTTGTTCATTTTCTTTTTTTTTCAACAAATTTATGATCATTGTATGTACGAAAATGATTTTACATGCAAACAAAAACTCAAATTATATATTTAAAGATCTTATTTCAAGTTAGTTTCTATCTCAAATTAATTCGATAACCAACTAACACATCTACATTTAATTTTATTTCTTTCTTCAATAAAAATACGTTCAATTAAAAGACATATCTCCAAGAATTTCAGAACAAAATTTTTGAATTTTAGTTTCTAATAAACTATGAAGATCTATGAACATTTTAAATGGTATTAGTTTAACAGATGATACAAGTAGATTGTTCAGAGGAACGTTCTATAGTACTGAGATTATTATAATTTTCACGGAATCCAGTTTCCTCGACGCATACAGATGATTCACGCGATCTTTCTTCCTCCAATGGAGTACTAGCAGATGCGTGACTAATGGAAGAGTGTCGAGAACGAGATGGATTACCGCGTTGATTACTGTTAACAGTCGGAGCAGGACCAGGCGAAGGATTTTCTGGTATTTGTTCTTGTTCCTGCTTTTGTTTACTCAATACTAATTTACATAAAAGCGATGTCTGTCCTTGTATACTTGATATAAATGGTCTATATCCCAAACTATAAAAATAATAAAAACATTTCTTTTCTATCTTATTTTTATTCTTATGAGAGGAAACACTGTTAAGTGTTACCCACATGCAATCAATGTACGCATTATTTGCATTTATTAGTTAGCTCAATTAAGCCAATCATAAATGTAATACTGATTAAAAAAAGAATATATATAGAACATAACTTTTCTTATAAATGAATCGTTCACAGGCCAAAGTAGTTAACTCCTTTTTTAGAAATTTTTTAAATAGTGCTTGATTAATGCTTAACTTTTTATATTTAAAATAAATTTCATTAGTAATTAATGTTAATGCTATTAAATAAGAAATATTTTCCTGACCACAATCAATAATAAATGATACGACACAATGTATGTTCACTTTTTGTTTTGTGGAGTTAATAGATTCGACGAACGAGTGACTCAAATAATGTAATAATTGATTTAATATGCTGACATACCATTCTGACTGGGACCACCTTGTAAGAGTTAAAAGTCCATCTCTTAAATTCGTAATAGATTCAAGGGTTTGCATTGGTGCGTGTGCTGCTCGCACAGTTCTTGCCATAGCTGAAACATCTCTTAAAACCACAGCCAATATCGCTGCCCATCCTAAACAACCACCTTCAAGGAACAATTGTAACAGATATCTAAGTTGTACTTCTGCTCTGCTAACCGGAGCACAATGTGAAGCCACATGAATTTCTGTTGGCTCTATTGGTTCCGAAGAAACCCAACACACTGTACCCACACCAGTTCCCACAATTGACTCAGCGTCATCACGCCAAATTGTACTAGCGTCACTAATTACGCTACTCGTATCTAAAATGATAAATCATTTAAATAAATATTGTTAATAATTATTAAAATTAATCGATTTGGCATATAAATGGCTTATGCATATGTTTTTCTTTATATGAGCAAATATAATATTACCATGCAACATATTTGGTGTTAATTTCGCTTCAGTGGCAGGAAATTGTGTTTCTAAGCTAGCAACAGGAGACACCAAACTAGTATAAGGAGGTCTGCCACTAGGTAAACTTGTATATCCACTATCTGGTAAATCAATAGCAAAATTAGGAGTCACTGTTTCATCTTCAGGACTTTCGAGATTCACAGATCTTATTGATCGCAATGATGTCAGACTAGATCTTCGAAATCTTTGTAAATTAGGAAGCGACAAAACTGGATAAGGATATGAAAAATCTTCGTGTACAGCTTTCAATGCAGCTATAAAATCATCAATCTTAGCTGCTCTATCGCGTTCTCTACCAAGCCACGTTACCAAATGAAAATCTAAATGGGCAGCAAATCTTCCCAAATCTAATAATCTCCGAGCTGAAAGTAATCGACGTGCGTGACGCTGTAAGATAACGTCAATGAAAAATTCTTCGGCTGAGCTTTCTCTGGAAATGAAATTATAAAAATCGTTATTGCGTTATAAAAAGAAACAATATATATTTTGATTAACTCATTCTGCACTTACTTGGTATCAGACTTTTCTATTTTAACAGTCGGTACAGATTTTTTTCGTCTCATAACAACATTTCTAGTTTTTTCTAACATAGAGGATGGTGCAATATCTTTAGCCATTGATTCAGATTGTACTTTTGGTGTTGCTGTAGTACTATAACTACGACTCCTAGACACTTGCATGGTTCCTAATACGAGAGATAAGTCATCTTCATGAGGTGATAAAGGAGGGGTTTGTGTGTGTCCTCCTAACTTGGTTGTACCACCCCAAGATGTACGAGGTGACTCCACATCGTTTGGATCTTTAAGAAAAATAAAAAATATTTATATTATCTAGAATTAAATTTTTTCAATAAAATTTTTTCTTCTTTCGCTTATTACCAATAGCTCTTAAAAAGCGAACAAGATCCTTCGAAAGTTCCCATCTTCCTTGTTCCAAAGCAGCATCTAATAGCAGAGTAGCATGTTGTCTGCTAACAGTTGATGGTTCAAGATTTTGTAATATAATTAAATAACTAGCAGCAGTGTCAAGTTGTTGTCTTTGTAAACAATCTTGTAAAAGTTTCTTAGGTGGTCCAGCAACGGAAAATAAATATGGCCAAAGTGCTATTTCAGTTTTTCTTGCGCACTGCACAACCGCTCTTGCCCATACTCCTGGAAATTCTCGGATGAATTCTACCACAGACGGTAGTTGAGCATCTGGAATTGGTTCTTTACTAGTTGCTTCCTCTTCCAGTACTTCATGAAGTAATAATTCTAAGGAATGTGGGAAATAAGGCAGTGCAGAACAAGATCGTGCTATTTCCCATGCGTGATATCCTAAATTTCGATGAATTAGTTGTCGTAATATTTGATGAAGATAAACTTGACTCTAAAATATTAAAATTTCAAGTATATTTAAAATCGTTTAAATGAAATTTAATTCAACTATATAAAAATATAAATAAATATATGCATATATGTGTGTATATACCGTTAATTCTAATAAACTAAAAGGCAGTGAGAATGGAGAATTAGTATCAGACGTAAACAATACAGTGTCATTTTCAGCTCCTAATAAGATTGCATCCTCGAATAATATAGCCAGAGGATAAATGCACAAGTGGAAAGGCAGCATTATTCTTTTACTCATGAATGTATGTGTTTTTTCTTGGTGATTTCTTGGAAATAATGGAAGCCAGACACGCATGCCATGAGCACCACAGAACAACCATAATGCTTCAGTTAAATGAGGCTTGTCTCTTCTTGATCGCCATGGCACCCATACATTTTCAACACACGAAGCTAACACCGTAGGAGGACTACACGTAAAAAACTATAAAAAAAAATCAAGCGAATTATCAATTTTACAATAATTCCAAACTATTATACTTAATAAATAACTTACGATATCAGGATTATCAGTACAATGCTCGCGCTGAACCATTAAAAGTCGTCCAGAAACATTGAGTAAAAGACTTTCAGGATGTGGATGACTCCCAGCTGTTTCTGCACGAATTGTTGTTAATGTTGCACTTACAACGCAAGCAGGATGCACGCAAAGTCCACTAATATCCACAGTTTGTATTCTAGTTAATTCAATATCTTCCATTTCTTTAAAAGTAATTACATTTTAAAAGTCAGTTTTAACATCATTTTTATTATCATAGTTGTTTCACAACTTACCTCCATTTCCATCCAGTATTATATCATAGATACTAATTTGTGCATTAGCACAAAACGTTAGAAGTCTTTCTTTAAGTGTATTAAGTAACAATACTTGAGATGGCATTCTGATACTCTTTACATAATTGTTATCGAGTCGAGTATCTCGTGGATACATTCTAATTTCATCTCTATCGTCCAAAAGGGAATAACTACTTGCTATCAAAAAACCACGATGCCATAATAATCCACCAGTTACTATGAAATCTCTTTCTTGACTTTCATTTCCAAAAAGTTTCCATTTACGAGATGGTAAAGAATAATGAGCTAATCCTGTTCTACCAGCTACAGCAATGCTTAACCCTTCGTTGTCAATTGCAGTATACTATAAAATGCAATATAGTATACTATAACAGTTAATCATAATAATTTACTAATTATGAACTTACTCTTATTGGCCAATTGGAACCAGTATAAGCACTTGGAATTGGAACGACTAACCACTGTTTGCATCCGGCAAGAGTCTGAGTTATAATATCACTGGGACATTCATTTGAAATATGAAAATTTGATGTGGTGGTGGACATACCACCACCAAGATTTAAATAAAGTCTATCTTCACCTTGTAAGTATAAATGTCCATGGTGACCCTTTAAAAACAAATAAAAAATATAAATATATTATAAAAAAATAACTTTCTTTTATAATTATGATTAAAAATTCGATATTACCATACATGGATTAACCGTAAGAGGGCTTTTTACAAAATCTAATTGTATAAGTGAACGCCTTGCATGTGTCAGCTCATTTCCATTTTCTTCCATTAATAATGGTCCTGGTAATTCTCTCAACATCCATAATTGGTAACCTTCCGCTGACCATTCCTAAAAAAGTAAAAGAAAAAATAAACAACATTATGTTATATTTCCATTTCAAAATAAATATTAGACTTCATTTACCATTGTATGAATATGTAAGGGATTATCACGTGTCAAGTCTACACGCAAACCATAATCCCACTTTAAGCTGCATAATAAAAGTGCACCAAAAGTACTCCAGATTGCTAAACCACCACCTTCCCAAGCTAGAGCTATAGCACAACTATCAGGAGTCCATCTTAGACATCTAACGCAACCTGGTTTTCCAGGATAATCTTTTGAAGACAGACTTAATGTATGCGATACTTCCAATGCTCCAGTAGTTTCATCAATGTAATAAACAATACCCTCTGAGCTGTTAAAAATATAATTAAAAAGTTAGATTTGTGTGTACATACAGTATATCCATATTAAAGTATACGATACTTACTTTCCTCTTCCAAATGCAATTAAACGATATTTGTGATTTACAGCTGCACAAGTAGCATCATCTACATCCTTGGCCCAAATTCCTTGAACTTGCTGAAATATATTCATATGAAGTATTATCAACTTACTATTGAATATATATAAATTCAATAATATATATATATTAATTATCAAATATATATTTATTAACTGACATTTGGGTCAAATTTTAATGAATGAGCTGTTAAGAATGCTGCTTTCCCAGTGCTAAGAACAATAGCAAATCCACCAACTAAAGGAGAATATTCAATATCCATAACATAGGCATTGTTTTCAGTAAGCGGTACAGCTGTAGTGGATATTTGTTGGTCTACGCTAAACGGTATTCTACGTAAATCAAGTGTATAGTCTCGATTTACTGTACCATCCCATTTATGCCGTATTACATGACTTGTTTTTGTTGCAACCATAAGTTCATCACGTATACATACTAAAGAACTAATTCCACCATCTATCCAGGCAGACTTTTCCTGATAATAAAAGTATATCCATTATCCATTTTTTAATCATTATCAATGCAATATTTAATCAATATGCTTACGAAAGACAAAACTAAAGATGGAATAACTTCTTTAATGAAAAGTTCAGCACTATCACGTTTTAGGCTTGTAACAGGAGAATCTCTTTGTTCGTAAAGGCTTTTTCCTTCTGGACCTTTGTCTGCTAATCGATAAAACAGTAGATAGCTGTCGGATGTCTATAGAAATAATGATAAATAATTAGTTATAACATTTTGAACAATTAATATGTTGACTGCTACATTGTTTAACCATTGGATGACAGTCAACATATTAGTATAAAAATTTTTAAGCACACATCACTTACTGCGATAACTAACATACTGGAATCTGGTCTCCATTGTACCAAGATATTCTCTCCGTGCTTTCTCAAAGAATCAGCAGTTCTTCTTATAAACACGATAGGTATACAAGGCTACAAAATAGTTTAATTATTATATTAAAGAAGAAGTAAAATATAGTCACACACACACACAAATATGAAATAACATAATATGTTTCTAATGTCCATATATAATATTCATAATATAATTACAAGTATAGCATATATATTATTTTATTTAAAAAATTGTACCTTGCAATACCAGATGGTAAGAAAATCTGTCGTTAATATAGCAAATAATATTTTATCTCTATTACAAACAATGGCCTTTATTTTATCCGGTTCCGTGCAATTTAGGACTCGCGGCCATCCAATAGGAAAAAACATCTTTTCTAAAAGAGAATTTGATTCTGTTACGTTCACATTTCTTTTTCTTGTTCTTCTTTTTTATGACTTCGTTCAGTAATCCTCACTAATTTAACAAGTAAACATATCCTAACCTTAATATTACGAGCATAGATGCGACAGAAACAGGTCATACTAGGTTCGTATACATGCACGAATGCGCAAGAATTTCACCACACGCAAGTTATTTATTGTTCATGTACGTATAATACTTTTATATCACATATTAGTATAAATTTAATTCTTATTCTTGCAATATAAGATATTCTTATTATTTATATTTATCATATTTATATTCATAGTATTATATTATAAAATATTACCTATATAATATATAAAATATATATAAAATATATATAATATACTATTATATATTAGATTGTGTGCCTGGAAAGTTCGTGTCCATTTTAATGTCCAAAGTAATTAAAAGGTAACATTTTTTTTATTTATATAATATATTCGATGTATATATATTTTCATTTAAAAATACATTCAATAAAATATTATTTATTAATAAATATAAATATAAATAAAAATCACGTAAAAAATTTCAATATAAATGCATAATGTATTGTTTTTGCTCTCTTATAACATTAAAGAAAATATTTTACTTCATTGTCTTTTATATACTATAAATAAAAAAAAAGATAAAAAAATATATAAAGGAAAGCTTTATTTTTTATTTTACTTTCGTACAAATTGAATCGATCAGGAAATAATAAAGAATATGTATAAAATAGATTAATAAAAATAAAAAATTAATATTTACTACAATGTAGAATGACTTGATTTGATTATAGTTTGAGATGTTAACTTTAATATAAAAGAATTGTAAAATAAATATAATACAGATAAACATTAATGTAAGATTGATCAATTATATAATTAAGTTCTACAAAGTTTATAATAAAAATACCAATAATTCAATAATCCAACAATATAAATGGCACAGTGAATATATTTAACAAGTGCATCGTTATATATAGATGTCATATTTAATAAATTAATTCTGTATAGTATATCGGATTTGAAATTCATGTTTTTCATAGTCAAACTTTTGTACTTATTTCATTAAGTTTTTCATATCATACATTCAATATACATATACATACATAAAGCATACATGAAGTTTTATCATTAGAAATATCTATGAATTTCATTTCAAGTACATATAAGCATGGGGGGAAAAGAAAATTTACAATATTGAAATATTTTCCAATTTTTCTATATCATATCACAAGGGGGAAGATATAACAATGTTAAGATGTATTATTTTAAAGGTAGTTTATAATTTGTTTTTTCTATAATAATAATAATAATAATAATCCTGTTTAAGGAGGATTAGAGATCATTATTTAACACGGAAAAAGTCATGGCGCATACAGGATAAAGTTTTAACATGCTGGTTCCATAGTAGGTGTGATAGGATTCATTCTAGGTGGTCGGCCAAAGCCACGCGTTCCGTCAGGACCGGAAGGCATCCTTGTTACATTTTCAGGTAAATGTGTCATGATTAATCCATTGTTATTTCTTGATCGGCAAAAGTTATTTTGCTCTGGAATCGAAGAACATAAAGATAGTCTTCTGACTCCTGGATCGTAACCCGAATCTCGACTACAAGAGGATAACCTACGGAAAAATGGGCCACAGTCTACTGAACCTCGGCGACTAGGATTGTAACAAGTACCGTTACAGTCGGTACTAGAAGTTGAACCACCGGAGCAACATGAAAAACGTCGGTTTTGTTGATAATAATAACCGGGAGGGTAAACTATAGGACAACAGCCAGTTTCAGAACCGGAGGAACAGGAAGAATATCGTCTGCCGTAGTTGCTAGCATCTGAATTAGAGCCAGAACTTGAAGATAAACGGCGAAGAACGAAACCGTTTTCGGATCCTGATATTGAACAGGATGACAATCTGCGCGATAGCCAAGCATCTGGTGACGGTGGACCTGAATGTGATAAATATTTATATTATAATTTATGAAGGTATTGTGTTTGATCGTTGATAATGTTTAATTAATCAATAATAATTTACCTTGAAAGGGATGACCAGGGTGGCCAGGATAAACGTGATATATAGGATATCCATGAACAGCTCTTCTGTATTTTGCTTTTCCATCTTCAGCCTCGGATCCACTTGCGCAACTCGATGAATTATAACTATCTTCTTTAGTCAATTTCGTAACGATTGTCTTCTTCGTCGGTTGCTGTTTTCTTTTCTTATCGGATAACTGTTGTAATTCGAATATTTTCGCATCGCCTAAATTCATTTCTAAAGCTAGCCTGGCTGAAGCCGAGTCGGTAAATTCAATCATGGCACATTCCTCAGTTGGCTTCAGTTCTTGTCGTTTAGAGATTGCCTGTCGGACCTAAATTAAAATCGAATTTTTTCTTTTTATAACTTATTTCAATTAAATTTACTTTTATTTTTCGATTGAAAATAACTATGATACCTCGGCAGGTGCAGGATGTCCAGGCTTGAGTACTCTGATAAGTGCAATTTCACCACATGGTTTAAAGATTTCGGCTACCGATTCGACCGATAGTCTTTCTACGGGAAGCCTAGCAGCTAAAATCGTTCTAGATGGTGTTGTTTGATCGAAAGCTGGCAAAGGATTAATCCTACGTAATTTAGTACCCTGAGAATTAACTTGCAATTTGGAGGACTTAGCTAAAGCAGCACCGACGACCCTCCAATCCTTGGTTAGATGTTTGACTCTTTTAAAACTCGAGACGAGTTTTAACGATACGTAACCCTCTTTATTTCTCTTCACGTGTTTCAGAAGAAAAGCATCCTTTACTATACTTTCATCGGCAAAATAAGATTCTACCTGAACGCAGATTTTCTCGCTTAACTCGTCGTTAGGTAAAACAAAATCATCTGGCTGATCTTGTACAATAGATTCTTTATTATTATTCGATGTTAACACTTTTTGTTTGTCCAATTCTTTCTGCGTAACGTCGTCCAAAGAATCTACGCCAGAATCTTGTTCAACATTCTGTTGTTTCATGATAGCATCAGTCGATGATTTTCCTTCGCTATCCGAAGTCATACTATCAGATTGATCAGCTTCTTCATCCTTAGAACCTCTTCTATCGAAAGACAAACTAATATCGCTGTCGACGGAAGAAATACTGTCCCTTGTATCAGACTTTTTCATCGGCGGTGGCGAAAACGTCAAATTACCGACCTTATCTCTAGATTCTTGTTGAACTTCTAGCTCATCCATCTTTCCAAATTAATAAAACCCAGAGTTGAAATATTTGTTAGTATTATTTAAGACTTCACCGAGCCCCGAATGATTTCTTTCCATCGAATTATCCAAGGAGAAGGGAGCCCGTTTAAGAAGACGGATCAAATTCTACGACGTTGGTTTGGCTTTTCTTTCTTTTAACTAACATTTATTCTCCATTTAACTTAAACGTTTAACAACATTATTCCTTAGATATCGTTGCAGAGATCGTAATTGATTAAATTCTTTTAATAACGATCATTGACAAATGTCACTTGGTGTATTATACGACCCGACAACAAAATAAAGATACAAGTAAAAGAAGAAACGTCGATGGTTTCTTAAAAGAATCTGTGATCTTACGCGAGCAGTAGCGCGAATTTAAAGGGAGGACACCATGGGGAGTACAACAAGGACAAAATATGAAGGGGCATGGATGGATGGATGGATGGATGGATAGATGGATGGATAGATGGATGGAAATTAAGGGAAAAAGAACGAGGAACGATTTTTCCCCCTCCTCGTTCGCAGGTGAATGCGTGCGTGCGTGTGTGTGTTCGGTTTGAAAATACAGGGAGGGAGGAAAAGTAAGGGGAATGTTGCGCGATCCGTGACAGTTCGAGCGACAGTGGCCTTCCATAAGATATTTCCACTTGTTTAAATACTTTCGCCCGTTCCCGCGCATGCTCGCATGCACTCAAATGTGGCAATCCTCCACCTCGTCGTCGTCGTACGTCGACAAGATGGTCAAGCTACCCTGAGGTCATGACCTTCCTAAATGACAACGAAAAACGGAAGACTTGGCTACTGTCGAGGGCGTCTAATCGGACCTCGATTAGACATACACATGGATACATTTATATCCTATGTGTTTACGCATTTATTTAAAATCATTTAATCGAATACTTTTATCATGTTCTAAAAAGAAAATCTCAAGAAATGATTTTTCTTGAGATAAGATAAGAATAAAAACGTAGTATGATTCGTATAAATACAAACTTGTAATATTAATTGCATAAGAATTCATTTTGCATTAATCAATCAATGGGTACACAGGAGCGGAATAAGGAATTTTATTTAAAATTACAAAATAGTTTTGGGTATCTTAAAAGTATGTTTTATTAATCTATTAAATAAATGTTTAATATATCCGAGTATGTAATATTAGTGATCATATATAAAAATATATATTTATACTTAAAAGAAAAGAAATAAGGAAAATGAAGAATTGTTGGTTGAAGTACCTAGTTATAATATTAAAAATAAAATATGTGTACAATATAAATGTATAAAAATGATTAAATGGCATAACAGTGGGAATAAATATTTCTAATCATCGAGTCTAGACTCGATTTTCGTATCTTGCGGAAGCAAGAGGAAAGAGAACACGACAGCAGGAAGGAAAGATGTTTTTATGGTGGTGGTGAACCTTGATAACCTCGAAGAGGCCCCCCGGGCTTATTCACAAACACTTCGCGCATTGCATTCGGACACTACCAGCATAATAATAAATAGGTCAAGTGCGGCCGGTACGGTGTGTATGCCCATACGAGTTGTGAGAAAGGACAGAAAGATCCATAAGATTCATCGTACTTTTATCGAAAGGGTTCTTTCTATGGGTTCTTTCCTTCTCCTCTTTCTTTTATTTTACATTCTTCCATACTCATTCGTATAACTTTCCATACTTATATTTTATAAATATAATACATATAACTTTTGTATTTATATATTTTGATTTTATATAAAAAAAAAATCTATAGAGTTACGTAAATAAGTTGAAGAGTTAAAACGAAAGTAGTACAAGAGTTTAATTGTTACCGGAATTGTAATTAAATACGTCTACCTGTAATATAATTATAACTCTAATTAATATAATAACGTATGGAATTTGTTTTAATTTCATTTCCATTCTGATTGTAATTGATATAATAATACAGAGAGTATTTATTTAAAATAGTAATTATAAAAGTTTGTATAAAAATACTGATCCAATTAGAGGTAATCTATATTATATAAAAACACATTATAATAATTAATAATTAAATTAAAACAAGTTTTCTTTATCGGACACCATATATTAACCTATTCGTAATTACATGTTCTTGTAACGCACGTCTTATTAAATAACTCTGTATTTAATATCATAATCTCTATAACGAGAAGCCTATATAACGAAGCCCATAAAATGTCTTTACCTTTTTTTTCTAACTTATTCCTATTTATGTTTCATGTTTGTAATCGATAAGTCATATTCTTAGTTCATAAATCATATCTTTGGAAACTAATAAAATTAAACAGAGTCACGTCGTTCGTAATACCCGTTCTTCGTTAAAATCATTTTAATAAGTTAAAAGAATGTTTCATATATATATATATATCTACTGGTAAAAGAGAAGAACAATGTATAAGAAAAATTGGCTTTAACGTTTACGTAAAAGCATTTGACTCATCGATATTGTATTCTTCCCTCCCTCTTATATATGGCTTCTCGTGTATTACGCAACAGTTGTTCCGAAGTTGATCGAAGCTCTCTAAAATGTGAATATCTCTTTGTTCGTTTACAACTTATTCATCATTTTGATTAAATTATCGCGAAAATTTGCATCGTTTTGTCATCGTATAAAACTCTTAACAAAATAATCAAAACATTTATCGCAAAAGTATACGTACATGCTATTCTCACTGTAAATTTTTAATAATTGGTAATTGACTTGTAACGCAAATCTTCAAAATTCTTCAACACCCACGAGAAACATTTTTTAGAATCATTAAAATTTCAATTTTATTATTAATTTTGTCAATTATATTAATCTACTTTCAAAATTATCCGACAAATATATACGAGGATGGGTTGAAAAGCCTTAACGAACTAAAACTTGTATTATTTCTTTAAGATAAAAATAAGCTTGACCGAAAAAAGTGGTTTCTGTGTTAAGCTCAAGACTTTTCAACACTCACCCACATACAATATATTATAATTAAATAAACGTCAGAAATAAAATCGCATTTTGTTAATGCTATATTTATTATTTAATTGATATTTTATTATATAACACACAAATCAAAATTAATCAAAATGAAATATATAAACCCAAAAATGGTATTTCAAATTGATTAGAAATTCTCGGAAGTAAGATTAAGTATTTACGAATAATTTATTTTGTTCTCCTCTCGTAGGAATGTCCTTGTGCGGATCTTTTCTTATTCCTTTTTATTCAACAAGGCCTGCATTTATAGTAGACAAGTGCACGAGTTGAATCGTTGAAGGAGAGTCCATGAAGATGACCTCGCACTTCACCAGCTCGCATCATTGACTACGCAACCTCCTCTGTCTCGTCGTAATATAATACAATATCCGCCAATACAAGTATACCTATAGAAATAGACGCAGTCTCGTTGTTAAGTGATCAAAGTCGTTGACCATCTCTACTGTGACTAGTTCGATAAAAAATCTTCGATCTCGAGGTTGCGCATCTATTTAACAACATTTCTTCTTAATCACAAAATCAAACTTTCTGTATTCCTAATGAAATATTCATTCCATCAATTAATTCATTTGATGCAACGTATGATATCATACCTTGTCATTCAAATTTTTCAATTTTCTTTCGAATGACTGTTTATATATACAATTTACTAAATCACGATTATAATAGTATTTTCGTATCCAATCTCAACTACGTTATTATTCAAATATTAATTATCGCATTTAATAGTATTTATTTAAATTTGCCTATTATCAATATTTTAACTATTTTTAATATTTCAATCATTAATATAGCCATCATACATTAATTGGGTCAGCAATGCGTTCAATTCCAAAAGCTTTTTGCAAATTTTATAAATATAGTATAATATAATGATTAGTGGTGTTAATATAATTTATCATACTTTTGTTTTTACGTTTTAATTGACTATTAAAAGATATGTGTAAACTTTGTAGATGTAGTATAGATGTTGATAAACGATAGTAAAGACTACGTAATATGTTACGGATTCTTTCTCTCTCTCTTTCTCTCTTTCTTTCTTTTTCTTTTATTGTTAATACATACGAGGTTCTCGGAGGGCGGCAATTCCCTGCGGCGATTTTCACTACTTCAGGACACAGTCTCTTATTCTCTTTGACGGAGATAGGAGTTACGATCGAAACTAGGTCAGGGCAGCCTACTAAATGACCGAATCAATTTTATTATTAAACTTATCAAATATGGTTCATATCTCTGTACTAATTTATTTCGAAGACTGTGAAAACGTATATTTTTTAATGCGTTCACGTTTATTCATACTTATTCTTATTTATTCGGATTATTAACTAACAGTAATATTTACTACTAATCTTCTTTCTTATTTTGTTCGTTTTATTCGGTTAAAACAATTAATTCGTAACTTTATTTGGGTATCATTCAAAACATATTTTTTATACGTATATTGTGTACATTAAATATTTGTAATTTTTTTGTTTTCCAATTAGCAATATTTAAATTTATTTTAGAATATAAATAATGTATTGTTTTATTTAAAAAAAAAATTACTTTAAGACTTGCGCATATGCCCATTAATAGAGAACCACTGAAGCTTCGTGAGTCAAGCTAAGTCAGGTACAGAATAAGGCCCTGGGGTGATTCGCCTGGATGACCATGACCATATTACCGGGCAGAGGCCTCCAATACCATCAAACGTCTTTAATTCTACCAATTATCTTTGAAACGATTAGTGCTATTTACTCGTAACGTTTATTACAACTGACTGAGTTTACTTTTTCAAAAAGTCTTAAAAATAAGAAATTGAGAACTGTAAAATAACAATAATTATAAATGCATTATTAATGTATACGCATATTATATGGGTAAACGAGATACTTTTATATTCGTCAAAATATTATTTCTAAATGTCAACAAGTTGTAATAAATAATTACATTAGAATGTTCATGAGTGTATATGCTAGAAGTTGATATAAAATTACTAATATCTTATTGATAAATCTGATTAATTCGAAATGTAAATATCTAATTATATGTTATATGAATTTGAATAATGCGCATACGTTTTATATATTTCAAATTACCGTAAGCCTTCTAATTGGTCCTAATAATCTTACAAATATTTATATATTATCTTAGTCTCTTCTTATAATATAATTTAACAGCTATAAAAATATAACTATTTTAACAAACATGAGTATAAATTTATAGATATATAATACTTTATCTATTAATATCCATGCAACCGCTTCAACATAAAGAAAAATTAAAAACATTAGCAGCTTTCTAAGTTACCGACGGTTGTATGTGCCGGTAAGTTACCGACTATCGTAGTTGCCGATAAATTACCGACTGTCGTAGTTGCCGATAAGTTACCGATAATAATTAATACTTTAATATTCCAAAAGATGGCGTGCAAAACGCTAATTTTGATTTTTGCGCCATTAATCTTCTTTCTCCCTCGGATCACTTTTTTTTATCAGTAGTTAATAATCTATTAAAGTTTATTTAATCGCATAACTGCTATATAAATATAAGCAACACAATCAAGTAAATATATAAATCATTTTTATTAATTTTTCAAGGTAAGACAATAAATTAACATAGGTTGCATTTTTTTTAAATACATATCATTCCAATAGGAATTACGACATTATACACAACATACAAGAATTAATTATCACATGACATGCAGGTCCGTACTCTTAAATTCTGATCACAATGCAAATAAGTACGAACAGAGATATTAAATGTTCCAACAATAAAACAAATTATTTTCTATTCATCCAAAAAAAAAAAGACATTAAGTATGCTTTATGTAAAAAAGAA